TGATATATCACACCGCCCCAACCTTAAAAGATGTTCGTAAAAGCATTCTCAGTGGAACCCCTATAAGGTAAGCTAACTGTATCACGGTTCCATTTATTAAAAGAGGTAATAACCCGGGGTGCTTGTTACAAGAGAAATTTAAGAAGAACATCGATAATTTAGAGACAAATGGACTCATCTGCATTTATAATCACTCCAGCTGGTTTCCTGATACATTTAATCTGCAATGAGAAACTGTCAAACACTAAAAAGTCGCGAAGCTGAAGCTTCTCATTCACCAGCTTCTCATTCGAATTTTCCCGTTCCACCTTAAATGGTGCAACAGTTACATTCTGCCACCTCAGGCACCATTTAAGGTGGAATGAGAAAATTCAAACAAGAAGCTGGCGAATGAGAAGCTCGTGATTTCAGCCTCGAAAAAAGTTGAACATTGAGAGTAATTTTACAAGAAATTATTCCACTTTTCCTGCCTGAGATGCGAGAAATGCAGCAATAGCTGAGCTAAAGCTTAAAGCAGAGCAAAGTAAGTCTGCATTTTTGTTTATATTATATTTTTTAGCCTATACTAGTACATCAGCACATACTGAAACATATTACCAGCCAAGATGGTAAAATGGACATAAAATGTTGTGGCTCCTAAGGTGGTCTGAATTTTATAGAAAGGACAAGGGCTCTTCCTAACGTTTGGGTTGCCGACCACTGGTCTATGGAGAGTGCATGGCTACATAGGATGGGCGTCCACATACTTTTTTTAATCCTCTCTTTCTAAACAAATGCAGAAATCAGCATTTCCTCCAGAAGTTGAGCGTAATCTTCTCTCCTCTCTCAGATCTGCTAATCTGTCACCTGCTCCTGACACTATCAGACTAGCGCAGCAGCTAACCCTGCGACACCCATTCCCTCACACACCCCGCGTAATGAGAGCCTTCATTCAGCACGCAGTGTGTGTGTGTGTTTGTGTGTGTGTGCCTCTTCTGCATAAACTCACACAAACCTTACAGTTATTCATCATTACTCTTCGTCTGCTCTCAGAACAGGCCGACTACTCTGAGCAGAGCGTTAACGGAGCTCTTTAAATTCCCCTCAGAAGGCTGAACTGTATTCTGGGTATTTCTGGAGCTCAAATTGCTCTTAAATCACACAAATGCACTGGTTTCAGATTTATCAGCGCTGCTCTGTGTCAGAGTCACATTAAGGTAGAATGAAGCTCTCTCTCTTTTCTGTCTCTCCTTCTCTCCCCCTCTCGCTCTCTGTCTCTCTTTTTCTCTTTATTTCTCACTTTTTCCTTCTCTGTCTACCTCTTTTTCCACCCCTCTTTTTTCTCGCTCTTTCTTTTTCTCCTTCTCACTCTCTCTCATATATATATATATTTATATAAGTGTGTGTGTACAGGTTCCTTTATCTCTTTCTTTCTTTCTCCTCCTCTTTCTCTCTCTCTCTCTGTCCGACTCTGTATCTCTCCCCCTTTTTCTCTCGCTCTTTCCCCTCTCTTTATTTCTCTTTCTCCCCCTTTTTCTCTCTCTCCCTCTCTCTCCACCTCTTTCTCTGTCTCACTCTGTCCACCTCTGTCTCTCCCCTCTTTTTCTCTCTCACTCTCTTTCCCCTTCTCTCTTTATTTCTCTTTCTCCCCTTTTTCTCTCCCTCTCTCTGCACCTCTTTCACTCTGTCCATCTCTCTCTCCCCTCTCTTTCTCTCTCGATCTCTTGCCCCCTCTCTTAATTTCTCTCTTCTCCCCCTTATTCTCTCTCCCTCTCTCTCTTTCCCCTTCTCTCTCTTTGTTCATCTGTCTATCCCCGCTCTTTTTCTCTCTTGCTTTCTTGTCCCCCTCTCTTTATTTCTCTTTCTCTCCCTTTTCTCTCTCCCTCTCTTTCTACCTCTCTTTCTCTGTCCATCTCTCTCTCCCCCCTTTTCTCTTTACCTCTCTCTCTCTCTGTCCATCTCTCTCTCTCCCCTCTCTTTTTCTCTCTCGCCCTCTTTCCCCTTCTCTCTTTATTTCTCTCTTTCTCCCCCTTTCCTCTCTCTCTACCCACCCCCCACCCCACCGACACTCTATTCCTCTCCCCACATTTGCATTTAGAATAAGTAATGTGCTGGAATGAATCAAATCTAAATAAATGGCTCCGTTATCCACTCAATAGAATATGGATGATCACCCTTGTTTTTGTGAGATTTTCCTTCTCTTTAACTAAGAGCTCTCCTGCAGAGCCAAAAGCACCAGGACTTCCTCAGAGTCATTCACCTACACTCTAAACAAGGGCTGAGCGATAAGGCAAAAATACAGCATCACAATACTTGAAGACATTTTCACGATACACTCTTTTGGGAGGTTTGTAAACAAGCTGGAACAGAGAAAATTCAGTAGCAAAACAGCAGAAATACATTAGAAATTAAAAAAGGCTTTGAAATGAGTGCAAAGATTTGAATTTGAAAAATTATAAAACATTTAAGGAGGCATTCCAACCTCAAATTAGCATTTCATACATTATTTGTTGTGTTATGTAATAACTTGTAGCACAGCATTGAATCCACCAGCTCCATCGGTTTGACAAAATTCATGATTTTTATCCTTTTTTGCACTCTCATCCATCAATGTTCACTCACTATAAAAGCCAGTGTGCAAATACGCAAATACATAAAGCCATCATTGGGGGTCCCACCACAGCACTCAGTTTAGCCGATCTGTGAGGTCAAGGTCAGTAAAGCCTGCGCGCCACCTATTTTTCAAAATTAAGAGCTCTGTTTGGGTTCTTTGCAGCATCTCCTGCTTCATTCTTCACTGTCATCATCACACTGTCTAAGCAAAAACAGAGTAATTGGTGGGCATAAACACACTGGCTGTGTTTACATGCAAAGATTTTCTCCAATCCGATTGAATACTGAGGTGTTTATATCTCACTCTACTCAACAATCTGATGAAAATCTCCATTTACATGCTCACTACAGGTAATCAGATGCAAAATTATGCAAATGTGTACAGAACCACTTAGTGTAGATGTTACCATGACAACAAGCATCACGAGTCCAGTCAGAGTGAGATGAGCAGCAGTGAGCAGCGCTTGTGTTTTTAATGACTTTAAAATAATGTCAGACTCAGGAAAACGTCCTTCACACGTCCTTATTAAAGAAGGCCGAGAGGAAGACGTCGTGTTCTGAGACACATAAGCTGGACGTCCGTCCCACCGCCGTCTTTTAAAGATCAGAGCATAAACTTCGTCTCCTCTGCAGACCAGTTTCTGCTCCGCCATGCTGAACGTTATAAACTTTCACTATGACACGACGCACATGATCAGAACGGACTTAAACTTTCCGATGTATGCGGGAATGTAAGCGGATACAAGCGTTTACAGGGTGTTGTGTGTCACGGCTGGAACTTAAACCTGAAACTGTAGGAAGTCACTCTGCACTGCTACATATCGCACCTTCAGCATATTGTTCTATTAAATCTAAAGTGAAGTAGAAAGTTGGAGCTGTCTGAATGATTCAGTTTGCAAGAAATAGCTTCAGGGTGAGAAAACTAAATCAGAGAAAATGTGTGCTCAGGATATCGACCATATCTCAGCATCCTTGTTATAAATATAGCTTCTCTATAAGTCAAGTCTAACGGCTCGCTCTGCTACATATACCTCCTCCTTACAGGGAGGATCTCTTCAATGCAGACGGAAAACAAAAGTCTGCTTTTGCTTGTAAGTGGAGTGGAGAGGAGCTGACATCATCACAAAGCAGCATCTTTCAGGTACCCACTGTTTTTGTTGATGCAGCACCCTGCAGCTAAAAATATAGTAATTATGCAGCCCTCACTTATTGGATGTGGCTGACCTTAAGAGAGACTAACACATGGGTCAATTTAAAAGGCAAATGAAAAGTAATAAATTAAGAGTTTCACCAATCATCTCATTATAATAATAAGAAAATACAGCAGACCCTTTCTAAATGCTAAGGTTAGCCTTAGAAAATTCTAATTACATATAGGTAATTACATATATAATACATATGGGACATATTATTATATATTATGTAGTTCTCCAGTGGTCAGGACCCCCATGGACCCTCACAGAGCAGGTACTATTTGGGTGGTGGATCATTCTCAGCACTGCAGTAACACTGATGTGGTGGTGGTATGTTAGTGTGTGTTGTGCTGGTATGAGTGGATCAGACACAGCAGTGCTGCTGGAGTTTTTAAACACTGTGTCCACTCACTGTCCACTCTATTAGACACTCCTACCTTGTCAGTCCACCTTGTAGATGTAAAGTCAGAGACGATAGCTTATCTGCTGCTGCACAGGTTGTGTTGGTCATCCTCTAGTCCTTCATCAGTGGTCACAGGACGCTGTCCACAGGACGCTGTTGGCTGGATATTTTTGGTTGGTGGACTATTCTCAGTGACACTGAGGTGTTTAAAAACTCCAGCAGCACCGCTGTGTCTGATCCACTCAGACCAGCACAACACACACTAACACACCACCACCACGTCAGTGCTACTGCAGTGCTGAGAATGATCCACCACCCAAATAGTACCTGCTCTGTGAGGGTCCATGGGGGTCCTGACCACTGAAGAACTCCTCCAAAGTTCAGTTTTAGAAGTTGGTTGCATTGTCTGCTTCTCCCAATTACAAATTTAGGCTCATAAGTCCTTAAAAACTTACTCCACATCTCAGGTGTCCAGTTTTGGTGTTCAAGTGCTCCTTTTTCTTCTTTTTCTACCTCCTTTTCCTAGTAAGGGCTTCTTGATAGCTACACATCCTTTCAGACCCATAGCGCTGGGGAGTCCCATTTTCTCTGTAACTATCAATCATTTTTAAATGTTTTTTTTACTTTCTCCTTATGTAAGTGGATCATCTTATATCTAATCAGAATTAATTAATTGAATTAATTAATAAAGTACTTAGTGGCTGTTTTGACTGGAATTTAAATAAACTGACTGATAATGACTTTTGCACAGCACTGTGGAACGTGTGTGTGACGTATACGAGCATATGAACGTGTGAGTGCGTGGCTCTCACCTCCACAGCGGCCTTGGCTCTCACAAACTCCTCCTCCAGAGAGTGCTGTCTGCCTAACAGAGAGCTGCCCAGTCTCAGCCTTGGCTGCTGCGCACACAGATGGTCAGACACACACACAGAAGGTCAGTCAGCAGTCTCGACCTGTAACACTATCTTTGTCCTCAGGTCACTTTTGCTGAGTGGGCAGTATAAAAGTTTGAGGGCAGCTGAGGAGTTTCTGGCACTGAGCTTTCTTAAAGGAAACTGCTGCAGGTGAAGACTTCAGCTTTTTAATTAAGAAAAGATGTTTCTGGTGTTATGACAGTTTTTTGTACACTGTTTGCCATCAAACATAACAATGTCTGTCAATACAGTAAACAAATGGTAGTGGTAACATTATCTTACTGTACAATATCCTCATGACAACTCATGACAGCATATGATGAGCTGGGGCCGTATTACAGAAAATTCTTAAGTCTGAGATCATATCTTATCTGCTTTGTTGCCATAGTAACTTCAGTTAAGACTGAAGTTAGGACAGAAGCCATTACAGAACAACAGTTCTTAAGTCTATAATCTTATTTCCAGATAAGAAAACGGTTTTACAGAAACATCCTAAGTTGCCAAAATATCCTAAATATTTTCATAACTTTAAGATAAACCCCAGAGCGTCCTAACTTCTGTTTTAATCGTCTGTTTCTATTGTTTTATGCAGTGATGGGCAGCACAATTCACTATAACCAGCATAATGACGCTACATTTATCTACACTGAACACGGTGGTTTTAAGAACTCAGTCGCTGCAGACTCGATCTCCACCGTCCCCTCTTATTACTTTCGGGTGTTAATGTTTGATTAAAACTCGTCAGATAAAATATTACAGTGATGGTGGTGAATAATGAGGAGACAGAGCTGAACGTGTGTCTGTTTATTAGGAGGAATAACGTTAGCGCATTCGGCTAAAGCGTTTGGGAAATGGAGACTGAAACTGGAGAGCGACGCTGTGGATAAAACAGCTCAAAGCTCCGCCACAATATTCTTAACTCTCAGTTTATTGCACTTTAGTTTTTTTTACCTTTTTTACATCAGTAACGGTAGCTAATGTAGCTGTCTGGCTAACTAGCATGATTATGCGTTTACGTTTCAGCTGCGTGCGGGTGGTCAGTTACTAGGTAACAGACACGACAGTTGGTCAACTACAATCAAGAAAGTTAAGATTTACTAACTTGAGATAAGAAAAGATACTGTAAGATAAAATAAGATTCTTAAATTAAGATAAGATTTGCTTCTGTAATACGAATTTGTAAAAATCTAATCTTAAGTTAAGACAAAAAGATAGGAAGTTTCTGTAATACGGCCCCTCATATCACCTCCAACCACCAGTCATGTGAAAAGAAGGAATAATACATTTTTCTACAAAGGCCTAAACATGGCCACAAATTTGCTAAAATTTGAGCAGGGACTAAGAAACAGTGCAGAATCTTCTTCTTTTTCTTCTTAATTTTACTTATTGTAAAATTCTGAATACGTTTTGGAAAAGAAGGGACAGAAGAGATCAATATACACTGTAAAAAATAGTTCGTCAGATCAACCTAACAACAAGCAATTGAACTAGTTTTATAACTCCAAAAATTACAAAGTATTTATTTAGGTTGAATAAAACTAGTTAACTTACTTGTTACCACATGATATGATTTTTTGATCTGACAAGCCATTTTTTTACAGTGTATAAATAAACTAACATTTTTAGGCTGTAAATTAATATGTAGTGACATTTTATTTTGAGTGGTCCTTTTAGAAACAAAAACTCAACAGACTCTAAGTAACATGTCAAAAACATAAGAGGGTTAGGATTAGGTTTTGGGTTGAGGTTAAGGAGGTTAGGGTTAGGATTAGGGCCAGGGTGAGGGTTAGGATTAGGTTTTGGGTTGAGGTTAAGGTTAGGGTTAGGATTAGGGCCAGGGTGAGGGTTAGGATTAGGTTTTGGGTTGAGGTTAAGGAGGTTAGGGTTAGGATTAGGGCCAGGGTGAGGGTTAGAATTAGGTTGTCTCGATCTTGACTACAACACTACCCACCTACATTGTTACGTAGAACGATACATGGTGAAAAAAGCTGTTCTATAGCAACACTAGTAGTAGTTTTCACCTATTTAGAACTAACTGTTGGTTTATTTTGGAGTATTGTCTTCACTGAAAGCACTAAAAGATTAATTGCTGAAACCTGAGATGTGGGCCCGGGGTCAGACTCTGTGCTGATGCTCAGCTCCAGGGCGTGTTTGTTAGAGAGGCTGCTTTTAAAGTCTGCCGACCTGGAAAGAGGAAAAAAAAGAGATGTTGGGACAAATGTTCAGTAACAAACATTTATTTGCATTAAACTGCTGGAATATATGGGCTCCAGCATCTGCACTTGTTCCGACTACTGCCAGTGAAATTGTTCATTCTGTTCAGATCTGTCTTTCAGACTTATACTTAAAGTGGACTAACAGTAGCTTTAGCCTGAGGGTAAGTACAGCATAATATTAATGACTCTGGCGTGACCTTGTGCAAGACACTTCAAAGAAGGAGTGCACTGCTGCTGAACCGTCATTGTTTATTACCTACACCTGCTGGCCAGTTTATCAGAAACACCTATCATATGGCTGCATTTTGTAGGTCCACAGTTGTAGCCCATCTGCTGCTGCACAATGTACTACCCCCCTCAACTCTGTCCTTCAGTGAAAAGCTGATATTTGATTTATGTGGAAATAATGTACAATTAAATCAAGTAAATTCAGCGCATCACTTTTTTAGTGCACAGTGTTTAAGCAAAACATTTAGAAGTTACCAATCTAGGCTTTATGTAAGCTTATGTAATATTGAGACAATAATCTTTAGGTGACAGACTAACCTACCTTATTAAACTTACACTAACACTAAAGCTTTGACCAGTGTCCACTGACTGTTTGCTCAGCAATGTAGCCTATCTTGGTGAGATAACCTGTCTTGATAGCAGATTTTGACCATAAAGTGTAACGGTTCACACAGGATAGGAGAATTTTCTCTAGTGAAGGCTTCACTGATGATGGCTGACTTTCTCACTGGGGTGACCAGAAGGATGGCCATACATTATGCACGTCCCCTGCTGTGTTGCCCAGGCTTTTACACATGTCAGTGTCACTGCTGGGTTGTGAGTGGTCACCACCTAAAAATATCCAGACAAGAACATCTCTGTGGTCAGAAACTGGCTAACACAAACTGTGGATCAACAGATGGGCAACAGTCTCTAACTGTACACCAGCAAGATGGAGCTCCAAGATGGTCAGCCGTGGTCAGATGGTGGTCACTTTCTAATGATGGATGGGGTAGAGGGGGCCCAATAAACCGTGCAACAACAGATGGGCTACAGTCTGTACTCCTATGCCGTGCTCCTATGGTTTGGATTGCCAGATAGCCGGCCTTGGCCAAACAGGACAGGCCAGATACAGGTTTTTTTTGATGGCGTGGCATTTGGAGGTGGGGGGGGGGTGTCCACCAATGATTCTTTATCACATCCTCCATGTTTTTTTTTGTTTGTTTGTTTGTTTGTGTTTAGAATTTAATAATTCTCTTTTGTTTCATTTTTCATTTTATTTCAGATTTTTCTTCATATTTTCTACATTAAAGCAATAAAGCATGAAAAGCCATGCATTACTGGAATTGTATCACGGGGAAGGGTTTTATTAGGCACAATGCGAAGCGAAATAGTTCCTTTAGAGTACAGTATCGTTGCCAAGCAACCATGGACTACTGAAAGAGGAGAAGAATGTTCGGTTGCCCATCGCTGTATGTTGCAGTCATTTCATGAACTTTTTAACTTTTTGTCATATAACAATGAACATAATGATAACACAGCACTGTTTAATGCAAAAAACTTTTGCTTTATAAGTACTTTTTGGTCACCAAATTTCCATCACGAGTCTTGTTTAGCCCCAATCCTGCAGCGCCCCACTTTTTGGGCTGGGGCTGAATTTCAAACGTCTCCCTGCTCCCTACATTTAAATACTGGGATTTAAATACTGGATCCTGCAGCCCAACAGTGCAAAATACAGCTAAAAAATAGTCATTTGGGACTCAGACACATCCACCCTCAATAAATGATGCACCGTTTGGCTGTAGAGGGTAGAATTTCTAAACTTTCATAGCTAGAACACTATGTAGGGAGTACGAAGCCGTTTGGGATTCAGCCTGGGTTTGACGCGACTTCTGACTGAAACACAAACATTTGAAGTGTGTAAAACATTCAAGTGACATTTTTAGACTTTTATACCGCCATTTCACAGTTAATCATACCGTAAGTACTTTAATTCAAGCCTGTGATATTAATGATGGTGGTTGTTTAGGCTGTTTGCTATCTTTTAGCCCGTTAGCTAGCTGACCAGTCTAGTTCTGTTTAAGAAGATAAGTTGCCCCTCAGTTTAAACAAAAAACGGGTTCTTACTTCATCAATATCCTTGGTGGTCCACGCGAGCAGCATGAGAGTCAAAGATTATTGCATTAACAGCACAAGGGTTTTTTTTGTGCTGTGGTGCAGTGATACAGAGTTCAGTTGTTGTGAGGTGGTCATAGGTGTGCATATATCATGGGTTTTACAACAGCTTCGAATGTGACTCCAGCGCCATTTAGATTTTAGGACCAGAACTATCTGTTTTATTAAGAACATTATATGTTAAACTCTGTTACTAAAATCATCAGAAAACACCCCATTGTTTATTCACTGTGTCTTCTTTAGGCCAACTGATGTATAAAAAGATGAAGAGGCATATTTCACTGCTTTTTGAAAGTAGCCGTAATTGAGAAATAACAGGTTTGCTTTCCTTTTTATTCCAACACAGTCTATTCTTGCCTGTGTGCCTACACACAGGCTGCGTCTCAAACCACATACTAACAAACTATGTTCAGAACAGTAATGGCACCATTGAAGGTGTGCTAATTTAATGTGCTATTTAATACGGTAGCCAGAGAGAGAGCGTGAGAGAGAGAGAGAGAGAGATGTGTGCAGTGACAAGACTAGAACAGCACTTTGTCTCCTTCAACAAATGGAATGCATTTAGAGTGAGACTCGGTTGTACATCTTAAACGGTAATTCCACCAATTTTTCAAACCTTCTGCTTAACAACCACTAAGATATAAACAAAGTCACTCACAATGGTTTCGGAGTGCAAATACTCCATTCTAGAGAAACTTCAGACAGAGTCAGAATTGTTCACAGTGGTGGTGATAGGAACCAGACGTCTGAGGAGTTTAATGCCTCTAAAAGTTCCCCTTACAGGAAGTTACTACATGAAATGGTTATGAATACGCTGATGCCTGAGACATCATCACCTGTCACCTTATATCCTGCCTATACAGCACTTTGAGCTGCCACGGTATGAAAAGCACTTTATAAATAAATAAAGAAATTAAGACATTGTTTTACAAGAGTTTCAGAACATTTTTGCCTAAAACCTTTTCTTAAAATCCAATCATATATAAACTAAACAAACTTAAAATACACGTGTAGGTTCACTGGTGGTTTTGGATAGTAAGTAAAACAGCTATATTTGTGTTGTAGACACGGCGACCCCTGGTTCCTACCACCACTGTGAAGAAATCTGAATCTCTACAATGAACCATTTCACATCAAACCACTCTGAGTGACTTTGGTCACATGTTAGCCATTAATGTTTGATTCAAATTTTGAAAGATTGGTGGAATGGTCCTTTAATGTGTGGTCAAGAGCCCCAAACAAACCACATGTATCAGGCTCCAGTCCTCACAGGCCAAAACACTGCAGACTTCAACACACTGCCTCATTCAAACACACCTGATTCAGCTAATCAGCTAATTAGTAAGGTCTTCATGAACTGAATTCAGGCCAATAGATGAAGGTAAACACTGATATCCCAACCCCTCTGGAAGGTTCCGCAGTTTGTCATGACTGAACTAGACAATGGAGCTCAAAACTGGACTTCTGGCAGTCTACCCTAGGGTAGATGTACCTAATAAACTGGCAACTCTGTGTATATTAGGAGCATCTTTCAAGAAAAAGGTTCAAAATAGTCGTACCAGAGCAGCTCACTGGAAGAGTGATGTGAGGTGCACTTCTTCTTTTCATATCTCCATGTCCTCCCTCCATTAAAGGCACGATCTGGATGGAGGCTCAGGTCCTCCCATTTCTCCAGAGGTGAGCTGCTCACTAAAAACAGTGGTGGGGCAGTGTTAGCTTACAGTTAGTGAGATAAGGCATACACCGTGTGGCCATTAGCTCATGCTATTCAATGAAAATGACATAGCAGCACAATATTTAGCCTAAGGCCATCCAGCTGATAAGGAAATGAGGATGGAGCTGTTAGCTTAAGGCTAGTCTGCTATAAAAAAACCTTTACAATGCAATATTTAGCCTGAGGCTCTCAAAAGATAAGGACACAGTGGCTGCTGGCTGAATGCTAAATTCAATAGAGGGGGATGAGAAAGCAAAGCAGCATTTAGCTTAGTGTAGCTCAAGGCTATCTCCTGAAAAAGGGTTTAACAATGCATGTTGCTTAATGCTTTCCAGAGGATTATGATAAACCAATGTGGCATTTTGCTTAAGACTACCCACAGAGCATATACAGAAAATATGCTTAAACTGGAATAAACACATTATACTGGACTACTATTTTGGTCCAGTGTGTAAAAAACTGGAACACTCGTGTACAGTAACGTCCAGGCCTTACATACCACTCACTACTTCAGTTTCATTTCTATTACATCAAATCTAATTAGATTAACTACAGGGTCATTCTCAGTACGTACGAACATGCTTTCTGATGAGAAAGGAGACGATTGAAGGACAAAAATTTAATGGATTAAAATCATGGATTAAAATCAGCCCCTAATGGACCTCTGTAAATGATTTAAAGTGGCCAGAAATGCTTGCTTAGAAAAATCAATTTAGGGAATGGGGTGCTTTACACAGATTAAAGGAAACACCTTTGCAAATGAAGCTCTGGGGGTTTAATCATAGGTTATTGACTCTTCGCTGCTACATAAGATATGTCTGCTTTTCTAGTGGTCTTAACACAGGTGGCAAATGGAAAATGTACAGTGGTCCTAGTTGTTTAACCCTTAAAGGGCCCATATTGTGGAAAGTCAAATTTCCCTCACTTTTTTCTAATTAGAAGAGTTTGATGTAGTATGTAAACACGGATAAAGTTCCAAAGTTCCAAAGTTCACTCCTCAGTCCATGCAGTCCATACATGGAAAGTAAACTGCAAAAACATCCTGTTCTGAATGGTTTTTTTTTGTTTGTTTTTGTTTTTTTTCCCAATTATTTCCCAATTTTTTTCAGACATATTCAATTCCACCCACTTGTTAGGACTCCCCCAATCACATGGTACCACCAGAGCTAAGTGGGCCAAAGCTAGTACAGGCTTCCTCCGAGACCTGTGAAGTGCCACCGCATCTTTTCAAACTGCCGCTCACGCATTGTGACTGGACAGCCGAACGTGCTTGGAGAACACTAACCACCAGTTCTGTTATGTCAGCCAACAGACGCCTGTGGATGGTTGTAGCTTCAACAGAGATTAAACTCGCGATCTCCTGATGGATTTCACTGTCTTTGTGACATCACGAGAACTAACACGTTTACTTACACTGATCAGGCATAACATTATGACCACCTCCTTGTTTCTACGCTCATTTTATCAGCTCCACTTACTATATAGGTGCACTTTGTAGTTCTACAGTTACAGACTGTAGTCCATCTGTTTCTCTGCATACTTTGTTAGCCCCCTTTTACCCTGTTCTTCAGTGGTCAGGACCCCCATGGACCCTCACAGAGCAGGTACTATTTGGGTGGTGGATCATTCTCAGCACTGCAGTAACACTGACATGGTGGTGTGTTAGTGTGTGTTGTGCTGGTATGAGTGGATCAGACACAGCAGTGCTGCTGGAGTTTTTAAACACCGTGTCCACTCACTGTCCACTCTATTAGACACTCCTACCTTGTCAGTCCACCTTGTAGATGTACAGAGACGATAGCTCATCTGCTGCTGCACAGTTTGTGTTGGTCACCCGCCTTCATCAGTGGTCACAGGACGCTGCCCACAGGACGCTGTTGGCTGGATGATTTGCTTGGTGGACTATTCTCAGTCCAGCAGTGACACTGAGGTGTTTAAAAACTCCAGCAGCACTGCTGTGTCTGATCCACTCAAACCAGCACAACAAACACTAACACACCACCACCACGTCAGTGTTACTGCAGTGCTGAGAATGATCCACCACCCAAATAGTACCTGCTCTGTGAGGGTCCGTGGGGGTCCTGACCACTGAAGAACAGGGTAAAAGGGGGCTAACAAAGTATGCAGAGAAACAGATGGACTACAGTCTGTAACTGTAGAACTACAAAGTGCACCTATATAGTAAGTGGAGCTGATAAAATGGACAACGAGCGTAGAAACAAGGAGGTGGTCATGATGTTATGCCTGATCGGTGTATATGGAGTGCTCTACTGAATTACACTGTAAAAAATGAGAAGTCTGCTGAACTTAAAATGATACAGCAACAGATTACATGGCTTTTCTTGTGCTGACTCCAGATTTCAACCAACTCAAACTTCTTGACTGAGTCACAAATTCTCCCAGCTAATGTTTCTCGGTCTGCATCTCAGATAAACAAAACTGAATTTACCTTTTTTTACTCAATTTCCCACTAGCTGGTGCTCTTTCCATCACACAGTCCCATCTGTCATATTTTCCTCTTGGGCTTCTGGATATAGACAGCTGTGGTATTGCTGGGATTCAAACTCATAGTCTCCTGATGTTGGGATGAATTATTAGACAGTTGCACCACATGAGGTGATGCCATCTTTTAAAGATAAAACAACAAATATTTTCTCCAGTGAATTAAAAAAATCCTAGTTTCTTCACGTGTTCCTGAGGGGCGCGGTGGACTAAGCCGTCACCCCAACAAGAGGTTGTGAGCTTGAACCCTAGCAATGCCGTAGCCGTCCATAGGTTCATACCTAAGAGGAAAAATGTCTAGCAGGATTGTGTGATGGAAAGAGTCCTTGAGTCAACTCAAGAAAAGGCATGTAATCTGTTACTATATCATTTTGAGTTGAGCTGACCCCTCATTTTTAACAATGTAGCTCAAACTGCGGTCCCACAGTAAAGCTATTTAACCCCTTAAAATCTCAGGCTCATTACATTCTAAGGCATATTATTCAGTAACTACAGGGACTTCAGTGCAAACTGGCTTAGCTATTCTTATATTATAGAAGTGTGTAATAAAACTTTGTGCCCACCAGAAGACCCCGGCTATTTAAGGAAAGGTATTCACACCTTAGATATGAAAAGGTACCAACTAAGGTACCAATTACAGAGGACCATACCTCCAAGCCAATAACCAATTAAGAACCTTATCATCTCAATCCTAGTATGATGTCATCACAGAAGGTCTATACCTGAATCTAGAGAAGCTCTCTCAGCATTGAAAGAGCCGGTTGAGAACTCCTCTGTGTCCACCTGGATGAGCTCTGTCTCCTCTGTTTTCTTCCTGCAGAAGCTGCCCTTGGCAGACCCGGCTCTTCGGGGGCCGCGGGGGCTCCTCCGGTCCCAGCTCCACCTCCGCTCACTGGGCTCACTCAGGTCCACCAGGTCCAGCGCTGTAGATATGACTGGGAGACAAAAGCACTGGTAAAGTGAGATGCACATGTGAAGCCTTAAAGAATAGCCCTATCAAACATGCTAACATGGACAAGCTATCAGCCACTAATTAGCATGACACTGTTTGGATAATGCTAAGTGGTGGCCATTCACTTTCAGTCATTGTTAGCAACATTAGCTTTTTTCACTGAACTATTTCTTTAAACTGAATGGGCCTGTAGGCGAATCCACACTTCAGTTCCTCAGTCCACATTAGATTTATAATACTCACTGAATACTAAGTCTTAAGATTAATAACTGAATAATACGCCCACAGCTCAAGAGGTTAAAGGGGACATTATGCTCCATAACCGAACCAGTAAAAGTTCAATGAAAAGCTGAGTACTTAAGGCTTTCTAAAGAAGCTTTTAAGAGTTTAGGAAACTCCAGCTTTAAGATAAGATCCTCAAAGACTTGAACAGACTTCTTAAGTTGACCGTGCCCTTTTTTCACTGATCGAAAGTGCATATATGTGACAAAAAAGGACAGAGATGATGAATGTAACCCTCCAGTGAGTCTCTGAGGGAGCTGCAGCCTCACTTCTCTTTTATTGGAGGTGTTTCATCGAGACTCTAAAGAGCACCTTTCTCAGACTTGTTTCTCAGACTGCTGTGCAGAAAGATTTCGCATTGGCTTATAAGCACACATGCACAGCGTTATATACACTGCCGGTCAAATGTTTTTTGTTTTGTTAGCTTGCAATAACTTAATATTTTAAATGTAATGTAATTTTTTTCTTTGTAAACCCGAAGGATCATCTGATAAAAACCCTGCTTTGGAAATAAAGCAGAAGCCAAACATTTTATCCCCATGCTTTGATGTCAGCGCTCAAACCTTTCAGGTGTTTAAATCACCTTTGGGTCAAAAAATTTTGATATATTCTTTTCATAATAGTTTAAAGAAAACATCATTATTTAGGCAAAACCTGCTCTTCATATCAATGGAGGATGAAGTTGACTGCTGAAGATAAATATACTCAAAGGATTAACACAAAGCTATAGGTACATAAACCTTTTTAGATGTGAAGCACCTTGTAACTAACTATTAAATTGACTATCAACCTAACTAACTGTCTCACCCAATCACTCACTCACTTACTCGCACGATCACTCATTAATGTTTAGTAGACTGAAAACCTTCCACAAGGGGGCGCTATTAGCAGTCAAAATGTTTCTGATGCTTCATAAGAGCAACCACTTCACACACTGTGTGTCCTTGTTTCATGCTTAAGTGAACTGAAAATCAAAGAGAAAATTTCCCCCAAACTTTTAATGGACATGGACACCACAATTTGAACTTCGTATAAGGGCAACCCAAAGAACAAGGTGGGCTTAGACTAAAACAATTTAACCATGGACACTTTTTCACTGAGCTCTTCACATATTCATACTAACAGATCATCATGATGAGCTTCTCACAGAAGTCTATATTTTTCATAGGTCTATTTCTTATTTGACTGGCGATCTGTCCAGGGTGTTTCCTACCTTCTGCCCATTGACCGCTGGGATAGACTCCAGCTCCCCCCGATGACCCAAATGGATAAGCGACTTAGAAAATGTGTGTGTGTGTATTTCTCTTTTGATAGGCCTCTAACAGCAGTCAGTGACTGTAACAGTGACACTGTAACGCTGTTACTAGTCAGTAACAGTGACTAGTTTTGATAGATCTATTTCTCATTGTTACTCTGATTGGCCTCTAACAGTAGTCAGCAGTTATGATTGGTTAAAAATACGTCTGTCCACTGACTGTTTTTTTTTTTCATTTCATTTCATCATTTAGGGTTCGGACAACTGATTTTCTGTAAAGCTGCTTTTGACAAACTCATCATAAAAAGTTCTACATAAAGATATGTTGACTTGACCAGAGTGATATGACCTGTAAAGGATGGAAACTGGAAGTGTGATTGGTCAAGATGCTCACAGCACACAGCAAAACGTTGTGATTTATTAAAGGGCTCATTTGCATATCATAGCCTGCTGCAGTATCAGTATTGCAAAGGCCAATAACGCGATAACAATTAGCCCTTAGAAGTCACAGTTATCACTGGCGATAACAAAATCGTGGACAGCACTTCAGTATAGGTGGCACTACAATGGCCTTGTAACGAGCTTATTAATCTTTAAGCCTTGGTTGTATTAAGACAGGGTCTCAGGACCGGAGTATAAAACAAGCCAGCGTCAGTCTGATTTGTGCTGTTATATATGCTAAGCCCAGTAATCACACAACAAGCTAATACACAAATAAAAGGGCTGTGGCTTACTAGTAATCACCAACTACTGGCTTTATAAAGCTTAATAAGAGTATTTATTAAGAGATAAGTCACTGCTCAATAACGTAGTAATGAACAGCCAGTTCATTTCTAACTACTGGCTTGTTAAGGCTTAATAAGCATATTACAAGGCCAGTATAACGTTCACTATACTAAAGTGTTCTTGAATTATTTCTCACTGGAATTTTTTAGTGCTGTAAGCAGAAGAGAAGATATTTTATTATGATCTAAATTTGATGAAAGTTATTGTCGAGTCTTGTTTTGTGCTGTTTTTCATTTTTTCCACGTTTTTATCATTTTCCAACAAAAATGTGTTTTTCAATCTATCAGTATGGAATGTAAACAGAATGTAAATGGAATTAATTTCTTTGACTAAATACACAATTAAATATGTAATCACAAAATTACATTTTATCAAAATGATGCACTAAAAAAACGATATATTGTGGAGCCCTAATTAGCAGAGGGGAGTAAAGGAGAGGAGAAACAGATGATGGAGAATAGCAGGATGAACAGATGACAGTGGAGGAACCTGCTGTGTTGGAGGTGACCGGCCGTGTGGCTCCATCACTCCTGCTCTCGCTCTGGAAGTCATCGATGGAGGGGCTCAGTAACGGACGGCTCTCTTGGTGCTCACTGCCCAGCTGCAAAACACAATAAAATGATAGAATACTGTCAGACTGCCTTTTCTTATCATATTTACACTCGTTCTCATAAGGCTCTTTTTATTTTAACATTATTGGACCAAATGGGATTATTTTGGCCTGTAGTAAATAAGCCAAAGCCTTTGAGACACAGTATAAACAGGCCCCTTTTTCCAATGTGACTTTGTAGAGTGGATATTTCTTACTGTCCTGAGGATGTTTATTGACTTTCAAGCCCAACAGCGCCTTCAGCATGTGCTGTTTAATATGAGATGGTAAACTGCAGTTATTTTTAGATCTTGAGCTAAGACTAGCTTTAACACATGGCTATTTCTGCCAGCGTCGCTGTTGTTGACGTTTCTGAATCTCACCATGTGATAATGCAAACTACACATTTAACCTGTCATGCAAAACATTTCTGCATACCTATCACTACAGTATTTTCAAGCTATACACTGACATTCAAAAGTCAGGAATCAATTTCATTTTAATAATTTTGGTTGTTTCATACAGTGCTGTGCAAACGTCAGAGATGACCCTTCATTTGTTTAATTTCCAGCCAGAATGGCCATTAAGCACAAGTTATTCATTTTTCAGTGTCAAGAAAAAAGCAAAAAAAAAATTAACAGAAAATCACAGAAGCCTCAACAACTAAACATAATATCAGATTTTTCAGTGTTTAGTATTTCACTCTTTACCTTTATTACAGCTTCCATTCTTTCAGGAGACTCATTTTCAGTTTTTCAAAGAAATCTGCAGACACACCTCCGAAGTTCAGTCTTAGAAGTTGTTTGAACTTTCTGCTTCTTACAATCCAAATAATACCAATTACAAATTTACAAATTTAGACTTATCAGTCTGTGAGGCCTTCATCCACATCTTAGATCTTCAGTTTTGGTGTTCTAGTGCAAATGATCTTCCTTTGTGTTTGTCTCCTTTTCTCAGTGAGGTTCTTCTTGACAGCTACACATCCTTTCAGACCCATAGCGCTGAGTCGTCTTCTCACAGTGGAAGGATGGACAGAAACACCTGTGGATGTTTTCAGATCTGAAGCAGCTTGATTTTCTCCTCTCTCTCAAAGATGAAAGCTTTCAGTGCTGTTTATCTGATGGGGGCAATTTTGGTGTCTTCCAGGTAGTTGTTAGGAGACCCATTTTCTTGGTACCATTTAACCAATTTTTGAACTTTTAAAAACTCCTTTTTTTTACGTATTCTCCTCTGAATTTCTCCTTCCTTATGCAAGTGGATTATCTTATATCTAATTTCCTCAGAAATATCTCCTGAAAAATGAACAACTTATACTTAATGGCTGTTGTTTCAGACTTCTGCACAGTACTGTAGGCAGTAAGAACTTATGCTAATTGAAATACTCTAACTTAGACAAACAAAGGTGCTTTTAAATGTTTTATTCAATATTTAAAGCATTTTGACAACAATTTTACAAAGATAAATAATATAGTGTAATTATATATTTATAGGATTTTTTAAATCAAGTTATCTGCCTCAACATCTATCTATCTATCTATCTATCTATCTATCTACCTACCTACCTATCTATCTATGCTCTCGGAACAAAACCATGTACCTCCAAAATGATAACTGTACAGGAGAAGTAAAAAACATACTTTACTTTTAATGTAAGTCAGTGGAACCAGAGCCATTTTAAGCAATTTCTTTTGGTCCACTCATCATAAAATTTCCACAAAATGTAAAGGCCAAAAGGCATTTTTAAATTATGTCAAAAACTGAAAATCAGATACATGGTTTATATATATAAAAATATATATGAACACTTTATAAGATAAAATATCCAACTTTTCATTTTTCACTAATTATTTATAGCATACTAATTATTAATTACATAAACTTGTGAAGTTACATGGGACTAGTATATTATAATCATTTTATACATTTATCTATCACTATACTGGTTTTCTACACTATTACTGAAAATGGTAATGTAAGCATTTATATAATGTTAATATGACACATAATATTAGGTGGGTTTTTGAAAACAGACAATATTTTTGCTCAAAAGTGCTGGGCTGCATATACGTCACTGTAAATCGTAAGCTGCGTAACTCTACACTGTGTAAATCCATACCATCCATTTCACCTTTGGATACCTGCCAGTAATATTTATGTTGACCATCCAGAAGCATAAAACAACAGGACAAAAATGCCCTTCACACGGGTTGACACTGACCCCTCAATATAATTCAACACAGAAATCGGCAATAAACGTAGAGACTCTGACAGATCAGTCATTTCTGCAGGTTTTAGAAGGTTTTCAATGAGAGATTTATACCAACACATGGAGGATACATGTTCCCAAAGGGTTCTTGCCCCTTTCTGCTCAGATGTCACCTTCTCAGGCTTTGCGTAGCTAAAAGACACCCTGAACGTTTCACATTTTCCCTTTTGTATGTGCTACTTCCAATTCACAGCATACAAAGGGCCCACAAATTCTTCACTGTAGAGCTCATTATTATGTATTGAGAAAGCCGTGGCCCTCTGCCATGACCCAAATGGAGCAAAACCGAGAAATCTCAAAGCCCTTTCTGTCTCTGGGTTACCACTAAGAATAGTCTGCTAAGTCTTTTCCACTTAATCAAAAATGATTTCCATACTTTCCACACTACAAAATAATCTCCTTTAGCTCGGGAGAAACGCCTGATCACATTATGCAGGTTTTGTTTTATGAAAAAAAATAGTAACAGAATACAAGACTTGTATATGAACTCAAGCAAACTCTCTTACAAAGTTATTATGAAGTTTCAAAACTGAAAAATAAATGAATAAACTAAAAATCGTTCATGAGGCTGATGTCGGTTTTACATGTGCTGCTTGATGTCCAAAAATTAACTGATGTTGTAAATCCAAACAATTGTTAATTTCAAAATAAAACATTCAGACATCTTCAGCTTTTAAAGGTAAAAATAAATAAGTAAAACAAAAACAATTCATGTGTCTGATGTTGGCTGTGCATGTGTTGCTTCATGTCTGAAAATTGACCAATGTTGTAAATCCAAATAATTGATATTGCCAAAATTGAAATTAAATGAAACGTGAAGAAGATTAACAGTTAAAAAAGAAATAATTACAATACAATAATTCATATGGCCGATCTTGGCTGTGCATGTGTTGCTTCTTGTCCACAAATATAAGAGTGTGATCATTTCAAAATAAAAAAAATTGATGATGTCAGTTTCAAAGTAAAAAATCCATATAGAGTTAAAAGGACCTACAATGAATTGTCAAATTTTTTACTTGGCTTTACATGGTAAATTTTCATTCAGCTAATTACATGTTGTGAGTTGCCTTCAATGCAATTTTTGTGCAATTTAACAAAATAAAATATGCAAAGCAAAATTGCACTGCACATTCAATTATTTCATTAGCTAGCCAAATTAGCAGCACATTTTCTTCGATCCACCATATCATTCTTGCTATAAAGTTATCTGTAATTTGCATATTTATTTTATGTGTGTAAGTTTCATATTTATCTGATGTGTGCTTGTTAAGTATTTGAAAATTAATGTTTAAATAGCCATTATGGTTATAGTTTACTTGATATCTGACTCATCCTGAAAGCACAAGAAGTTCATTGTGGAGAGCATCTCAGTCTAATCTTCTGTAGTAATTTTCATCATTTGAAATGAATCTAAGCTCTGTGTAAAATTAGAGGACATAAAAAGAAGAGAAAATGAATCTAGCTGTGTAGATCACACTAACAATAAATGCTGGCACAAGCGTTTAAAAACAAACAGCTATGAGCGTTAGCTAGCAAGTTAATACAGCTAGTTAACACAGCTGTGTTGAGCTTTGAGAAGTTCAAGTCTGTTTTCACGGCTCAGAAAACTGACAAAATGAAAAATTACCGACTTTGAGTCAACTGGGCGGAGCTCCTTTTCAATCACCCAATAATGTTTTAGGCCCAATCCCATTTCTTATTTTTACCCCTACCCCTTGTTTTTGAGTGTCATCCTAACCCCTTGGAACTGAGTTACAAGGGGTAGTGGTTGAAATCTTGTTGAAATGGGACCCTCAAATAATAAAGAATATCACTTCATTAACAGGCTACTAGCGCTGCTCTGTAGACAACCTGGCCCCTCTTCAGTGATAGAAGAGAAAGGAAAAGCTCTGCCAACTCACTGCTGGGTTTCAGTTACATTTAGGGCATCATATGCCTTCAAAGAAGGGCTATAAGACTATTATTTATCATCGTCCACCTTTAATTCTTTGGTGATACGAAACTGAAGTCAGATATTCACCAGCTTCTTGTTTGAATTTTCCCGTTCCACCTTAAATGGTGCAGCAGTTACATTCTGGTGCTTCAGGTGTCAGAACTGCTGACTATTTAAGATGGAACAGGAAATTTAGCTAGCTAGCTACCGAGACATTAGCATGCTATTAGCGATTTTTATGCTTGATATGAAGAAAACGACCATAATACATTGAAATAATATTAAACTAAGATAATACAGTGGTTATCGTAATTTTTTAAAGGAGAAAAATCTCACATTTGTGGGTTTCTTTGGTCACTCGCGCAGCCATCTTGCCGGCTTTTCTTTTTTTTCTCTCTGTTTGGAATGTGTCTCTGAAAAACCTCCGTTTGGAGGGCCATGTAGCCCTGACATTTCGCCCTACCCCTCTATCTCAGCAAAAATTGGGACACCCTAACCCTAGATGTGAACACGCAAAACAGAGGGCTAAGTGGTAGGGGTGAGGGGTGAAATGGGATTGGGCCTTATTTTCTCGTCCATTGATTTGGTTTAAAGTATGTCGGTAAATGTGATCACATGATGTGTTACCTTTGTTTTGACTGGCTGTTTAGTGAAACATGAAATTGAGATGTTTGCAACTCTTGTGGCTCAGTTTCAAGTGAGTTGCATAACACTTTATATTATGCAACACTAGTGCAATTTAGTTTCATGTAGGTTTCAAGCAATGAAAGTTGAATGAAAGTTTCACTGTGTAAAGACAGCCGAAGATTTTAAAAATAATTCTAATGGTAATGAAAATTAGGAATAGTGATTAAAAGCACTGTTTGTTTAATCAGCACAGACACTTTTAAACCGTTTGAGCAGCAGTAGAGCAACAGTGGAAATGTGGGCCAATGGAAAAGAACTTAAAAAATAAGTATAGGTAAACTAAAGGAATTCACTGGCATGGATGACCAACCGCTCTCTTTTACATAAATAGTTTTCATTTGCTGTCATGTTGCAGTTTTTGGCCCAGTCTGTCCGTTCGTTCAGGTTTTGGCCAAAAATTTAGGTCTTTGAGCAGGAAAATCCGCAACTGAGTCAACATCCTGTGTAGAAAACAACACTTGTTTTCTTACATGAATCCCAGACAAATGCCACATACACAAAAGCAAACAACATCAACATTCAGCTTTGGCTAACATACAGAAAAACACTGGCATGCAAACAAGGAACAAAAATGTACCATGAAAATTGCTGCTTATGGGGAGTGATGCTCACATTATCTCCCTTCATTCACTGGAAGAGTATGAGCTTATAGGTTTGGTGCCTCAAAGTATTGACTGATAAGGCAAATTTCCTGGACCATCCCATCTTCACGGATGCGGGATATAAAAATGGACATAACTAAAAACATCGCCAAATTTGTCCGAACCCCATACAGCAGCTCATATTAGCCAATGACAAAAGCCAATGAAGACGTTAGCGTGTCTTTCACACATGTTTATGTGTGAAGGGAAACACTAATCTATATTCAAAGCAGGCAGCACCTAGCCCTTGAGAACTAGGTCATCTTTAATCATTAAAGGAAGTGCTAGGTGCTTCCTGTTGGTGGGTGTATGTGTTCAGCCCACCTTGGTTGTAACGCTGCGGAGGGGGTTTCCATCTGAGGATGCTTTACTTGGTAGCTCCTTCAGCACCATGGCAACCACCCTCGAGTCTTTCCCCTACAACAACGAAATCAATATTGGATTGTGTCAGTTTGTGGTAAACTCTCTCTGAATAGGTTGCAACCACCGGGTCTTCTGTAAATACGCAATCAAACCATTGCGTGTTGGTCATTTTTGGCCAGATTTTGCCAAAAGAAATTATAAATAACACAGTTCACATGAACCCAACTGACACAACACAGAGTTTGTATCATCAGCATGCAATTCAATTCAGCTCAATTAAATCCAGTTTTGTTGGGATAGCGCTTTTTCTAACAGACAATTTTGCAAATTGTGCAGAAATATAGGTGCAGACCCTAGAGGGTGAGCACCATAGAGGGAGACAGTATCAGGAAAAAACACCCATGAGAGCAAGAGAACCGCTGAGAGGAACCAAGACTCAAAAGGGAAAACTGTCTAAGAGCATGAAGAAGGACAACTGAGAGGAACCAAGATGCTAAATGAAAAAACTCCCTAAGAACATGAGGAAGAACCACTGAGGAGCCAAAAAAACTCCCTAAGAACATGAGGAAGAACCACTGAGGAACCTAAAAACTCCAAAGAGCATGAGGAAGAACCACTGAGGAACCAAAAAACTCCAAAGAGCATGAGGAAGAACCACTGAGGAACCAAAAAACTCCAAAGAGCATGAGGAAGAACCACTGAGGAACCAAAAAAACTCCCTAAGAGCATGAGGAAGAACCACTGAGGAACCAAAAAAAACTCCCTAAGAGCATGAGGAAGAACCACTGAGGAACCAAAAAACTCCCTAAGAGCATGAGGAAGAACCACTGAGGAACCAAAAAAACTCCCTAAGAGCATGAGGAAGAACCACTGAGGAACCAAAAAACTCCCTAAGAGCATGAGGAAGAACCACTGAGGAACCAAAAAAACTCCCTAAGAACATGAGGAAGAACCACTGAGGAACCAAAAAAACTCCCTAAGAGCATGAGGAAGAACCACTGAGGAACCAAAAAACTCCCTAAGAGCATGAGGAAGAACCACTGAGGAACCAAAAAACTCCCTAAGAACATGAGGAAGAACCACTGAGGAACCAAAAAAACTCCCTAAGAGTATGAGGAAGAACCACTGAGGAACCAAAAAAACTCCCTAAGAGCATGAGGAAGAACCACTGAGGAACCAACTCTCAAAAGGAAAAACTCCCTAAGACGAAGCAAAAACACTGAGAGGAACCAAGACTCTAAAGAGGAACCCATCCTCCTCTGAGCAACTGGACCAGTTAGGATACAAATAAGACAAGGAAGATTGAAAAAAAATACTACAGTGTTTTTCAGCCTAATCTGCCATCTGTAGAGCACGGTCGATTACCAAGGACAATCATGACGTATTTCCCTGCTCTTAGAAAATAACTCAAAACCCACTGAAGCCAGTGGGAAATTGCTGAATTCCATCCCAGTAAGCAAGCCTGCATCGCCTAAAGGAAAGAGAAATCAAAACAGAGATCTCTCTTATATCTCTGTAGTTTCTGCTAGACAACACTGGGCCTCATTCACCAATATCTTCCTAAGTTTTTCTTAAATTTGTTTTTGAGAAAGGTTCTAAGACAAAGTCTACGTCAGATTCATGACGTGTCCTTAAACTGCAGAATTGTTCACACCTTTGTGCTCCTGATTGTGAGTAGATTCTGTTCCTGCCTAAGAACAAATCCTAAATAAGAAAACACTGGTCAATGTCAGAATCTTCATGAAAAACTGCATAAATGAGTTTTAAGAAGAAATTTCGTCTTAATGATGGTTGAGATCAGATGGAAACACAGAGTTAAGTTTCCTGCTGCTCAGATGTTTCTCCTGGGAAAAGAGCCCAGTCTCACGTGTCTCCTCTTAAGTTTTAACAGGGAGCTCCAAAGATCAAATAAATCTTAATCTCAAAAGTCACACATTGTGCTCAGATTTGCCAAGACACTAACACTCATCTTCATCAGCAACTAATCTCTCATCTCTAATTTTTGTCTAATGCAATTTCTCCTAATGAATTTTAGGAGGATCACCATTAGGTCTCCAGAGTGATCAACTAAGCAAGTGTTTCATGTGGGTTTGTCCACGTTCACAGCTCAGTGGGCCACATTCGGTGGTGGTGTGGGCCATAAGCTACTCCACGCAGGGCTTGTGTCTGTTTTTGCAGGACTGCATTACCCACAATCAGCCTGCAGTAGGAGACATTCCGGAATAGGCTCTTTTCACATTTCATTTTTTCTGCTGGAAGTAGTCGTTACGGGGTAGCACTGCTTCTGCTAAAGCAACAACAATGACGAGTAGAGCTTTGGCTTACTGACGATTTCGAAGCAAAAGTTTCAGATTTGTCAGCTGACAATGAGAAGAGTAAAATAGGTTTGTGCAATAAACATAGGAACAAACATACAGATGAAAAGAACATTTCACTGCTACTAAATAATGTTAACGTTAATGTGCAGTTCGTGCTTTAAAGTTGCTGCTACAGCCGCTTTCAGAGGAACAGTTTTCATTTTCTCTCAAAAACGGTCGGTATCTGAGAGAGCGAGTCCTCAGTGGGGAGTAAATGTTCATTCACTGGAGTCGAAGGTTGTGTGAAACATTTACAGTGGCACTATGGACCACAACTCCACAGTCCCCCTGCTGGAATATGTGCGTCTTTAGCTTTTCGCTAACTAGTTTATTGTTAGTAAGCTGCTTCAACATCTCCAGCTAACATGGCTCATCTAGCATTTTAGTTACGGTTAATTAGCTATTTTCACCTGTAAAATCACTCTGTAAAATCACTCATCACTCTGTAGATGTTACTGTAGCTGACGTTACTGTACCTTGATAGCTGTGAAGAAATTTTTCCATGAAGAATTTAAGTCTTTTATTTAGTTTGAACTCCCACATTGTTGTGTGTTTCCTTCTCCAACAATTCTGGACACACCCTCGAGTTCAAATCTTGGCAACTATGACAAAGTTAAAGTGACACACCTTCTGTGGTGGCAAATGCTATAATGTTTTACCCAGAGTTTATGCACTTCTGTCTCTTGTGAAAAGGGCCTATGGTGGTGCAGGTCCAGTGTGTGCTAGCCTATGCAAGGCTGGTGTGGGTTTTGTGTGGGTTTGTCAATGCCCACACCACCCACAGTCAACTCTCAGTGGACCAATGGGGGCATGTTTGCTGGGATAAGTAAACACTTATGGGACGCTTTCATGAATTCTTTGAGAACTTAAGGGGAAATTCCACTGACTTTTCAAGTTTTCTGCACAAACAAAGTCATTCAGTGTGAAGTCAGTCATTTGGTCATTCAGTCATTCAGTGTCATTCATTCTGATGTGAAATGCACCGTTCTTATAAAGCTTACTGAGTCAGAATAATTCACAACAGTGGTGATAGGAACCAGATATCTGGCTTCTAAAATCTCCCTCACAGAAAGTTATTACGTGAAATGGTTACAAATACATTGTATGATGCCTGAGTCGTTGTTTTAAAATAGTTTTGAGAAGGTTTTGGCCAAACGCAAATTCATTTTAAGTAATGCTGGGTGTTATAAGGCAAAATAGTCCCCAAAGAAAACTTATTTTCTCAGATTTATCACTATTTTACCATCATTACATTACATGTAAAACCTCTGGACACACCTGAAGGTTCACTGGTGGTTCTCGATAGTTAATAAAATGGCTATATTTGTGTTGTAGTCATTGTGATTCCTGGTTCCCATCACCGCCACTGTAAAGAAATCTGAGGCTGTAAGTTTCTCTACAATGAACCGTTTCACACCAAACCACTCTGAATAACTTTGTTCACATCACAATGATTAAACTATGAATTACTGAATACAATCATTTGTTAATTCAGAGATGGGACTAGTTTTCCAGAAGAATTTGTGGATATGGATATCGCAAAAACAATGAAAGCAAAAGCAGTCTGAACAGTTTTCTTATTCTTTTGCTTCAGTGTTCGAAAAATTTGGTAAGAATTCACAAGAACCGCTTTGGTATGAGATTCTGTATTGTTCAAGCGCAATGTCTGTTGTTTTGAGGTAAAAGTCTCATTATTATTGTCCCATGTACTCGACTGCACGCTACAGATGTGGCAGATAGATATCAGATGGAAAAATACCGGAATGTTCTTGTAAAAAAACAACAAATTTCACAAACCACTGATGATCTCTGGTGTATCACCATGCATGAAACACTTCCGACTCAGTACGCCAATGGAGCAGTAAAGCCACTAGCATATCATGGCTGGTGTAGGATGTAGAAACATCAATTCGAGCATTAAATGATTTCAGCCTGGCACCGTTCCATTCAGTGTCACGCCAACTAGACACTGTCCATCACTGCAGCGCTTCAGAACAGTGAAGCTTTTAAAAGCGCCGGCCCTCTCAGACAGAGCTTAGCACTTAAGAGGGACCGCTGGGACACTGAGAGCGGGCAGGGAAGCCGTTCGACGGCCATGTTTGACACTGCTGAGTACCATTTAAGCCCCACTGTAGCTGCTAGCTGCAGTACGGAGAGGTGACCTCACCGCTGCAGTCCACCTTAATATGAAACAATCTCCTTTAGCTTTGGAGGAAATTCCTGAACAAAATGTGCAGGATTCAGCAAAAATGAGAAAATGAATATATATATATATATATATATATATATATATATATATATATATATATATATATAATTTCTGCATAATTTAATGGTTAAGAGACACTTACTGGGTCAGAACAATTGACAGTGGTGGTGATAGGAACCAGACGTCTGAAGAGTTCAATGCTTCTAAAAGCTTCTGACAGAAAGTTATTACGCAACATAGTACACTGCCTGAAACACTGGTTTTTATGATGGTTTTGAGAAGATCTGGGCCTCCGTTTATGGCAGAGTGGTACATGCAGCTTGTTTTAAGGCAAAATAGTCCCTGAAGAAAACATATTTTTTTCAGATTTAATATTCTTTTTTGCCATAATTACTACATATAAAAACTCAGAAGACATGTGTAGGTTCACTGGTGGTTTTGTATAGTAAATAAAATGGCTATATTTGTGTTGTAGTAATTGT